TGGGGGGGGGGGGGCAACTCAGCCACAATTCTCCGCAGCAAAAACGCTTGCTTCCGGCTTCGAAGGAAAAAAATGGCAATTTTGCTTACCATGGAAACAAATAGGACCCAAACGGAACCATTTGATCATAGAGCGGGTACAAACCTGGCACAGCATTCTGTTTCTCTAAATTCAGGTGGGGTGAACCACACTGCCAGGAGCTGTCCATACGAAGACGACCCTGATGCTGTCGCTTCAGCTTCAGTTCGATAAAACCACGAAATATGGCTACACTGCGTACTGTTGTCAAACATCCCCCCAACGCTGATCCCCTTCTGTTCCTATCACATCCTGATTTGTCACGGGACGTAGAATAGTTGGTTCTGTAAGTGGGATCAGAGCTCCGGGATATATCTTACCCGGTCCCTCCAAGTACCGGCTCCAAGGTTTGTTGGCGCATATTTATAGGCATCGAGGAGATCAGCCCCTTCTTTTGCGTGCTCTATTTTCTTTGCGCCCTCATCGCTGCTTATAATGCCTGAATTTCATTCGCACAACATCCAACCGCACCCATACCCCAGCGATCATACCGTACCGCAATTCCTGTTGGACGAGGCGACGCATCCTTTACGCGCGAGTCGCCTTCCAGGTTCTCGATGGCTTATAGATGATGCTACGGGGCGGGCGTACGGATTAGATGAGATTCGAGAGAGGGTGGAACGGATTGCGCGCGCAGTCAAAGCTAGATGGGGGGTCGGACCAGGCGACACGGTCTGCCTCTGCAGCGAGAACCACATTGGTACGTGCTTCCTATGTCGGAGTCGGTCTTTCTTTGTTCACATAAGATAACAGACTACCCCATTGTTATATGGGCAATGCATCGGCTGGGGTGTACCGTGTCCCCTGCCAATCCCTCGTACACCGCTGGAGAGTTGGAATATCAACTGAAGGAGAGTCGCTCGAAGTTGCTTTTCACCTCCGCTTCCTCGCTTCCAGTGGCGCTGGCGGCGATGATCCAAGCCCAACAATTCGGCCCGAATGAGGTGATCGTCTTCTCCCCGCCAGCACCAGCGCCAACCAAGTCGGAAGGTTGCTTTCCCGCAATTCTGCCGAGGGATGGAAATTTACCCACCATCTACGATCTCGTCCAACAAGGCTGGCGGTTGTGCAAGAATTACGCCGAGCCTCATGGACCGAATATCGGGAATAATGTCGCATTCCTCGGCTTTTCTAGCGGGACAACCGGACTTCCGAAGGCTGTCGCAATAACACACCGGAGTGTAATCTCCGTCATGATGGAACTTGCCGCCCATACTCGCAACAATGATATCACGTTGCCAGAGAAACATCGATGGATCCGACCTGGTGATGTTGGTCTAGCCGGTGAGCTACAGTGTTGAACACCCGACCTCAATATTTAATTTCAACTAGTGCTTCCCTTCTACCACATCTATGGGCTGATTGGCATTGTGCGTACTTGGGCGCACAAGCATACGGAACTTTGGTCAATTGACGCAAACAGCTACATGCCCTCTTGTTTAACGGATGCGGCGTGGTTGTCATGCCCCAGTTCAATCCACAGACGTTCTTGGAAACCATCGCCAAGCATCGAATAACTCATCTCCCGTGGGTAAAGTGGTTTCTCCATCCTGGTCCTCTTCTGATCAGCATTTTGTCTCAGTGTTGTCCCCCCTATCGTTGTGTTCCTAGTGAATGTGAGCATGCAGCATCCTATCTATTGAACCCCCCATTGACGCCTAAAGCAGCATCCTTCTATCAAGAACTATGACCTCTCGAGCCTTCACTATGTGGTCTCTTCAGCAGCTCCGCTGTCCAAGGAACTAGCGCACCGACTGCGAGCTTTGATACCAAGCGCCCACGTCGGACAGGGATACGGATTAACCGAGGCCACGACGCTAATCAGTGTGGTTGGTGACGTTCCTACCCCGCGCTTATTGTCCTCTGATTGTGTATGACAGTTCGAGCTGTCTAAAGACCCTGTCGATGGGTCCGTGGGTACCCTCGCACCTGATACAGTTGCCCGTATAATCAAGCCCGACGGTCAGATGGCTGACTACGGCGAATCTGGCGAACTGTGGATCAAGGGGCCGCAAGTAGCACTGGGTTACGCGAACAACAAGAAGGCAACCGAGCAAACATTTGTCACTGGCGGTTGGCTGCGCACGGGAGACGAAGCATACATGACCAAAGAGGGCAACTTGTACATCGTTGATCGGCTTAAGGCATGTCTTTCCCGAGCTGCGGGGCGAAGAAAAGCGGCTGAATATGTTGCAGGAACTTATCAAAGTCAGCGGTTTCCAAGTCGCCCCCGCAGAACTGGAAGGACACTTGCTAAATCACCCATCGGTTCGAGACGCGGCTATCATCGGCATCCTTCATGAGCGGAAGGGAGAAGTCCCACTCGCGTTCGTCGTGCTCAAGTCTGCTGTTGCCAAACGCGCTGCAAGCGGTGCGGAAGCACAGGTGATCAAGCAGGAACTGAGAAAATGGGTGAGCGACAACAAAGTGCGTTATAAACGGCTCGAAGGCGGTATCGAGTTCGTAGACGTCATACCCAAGAACGCGAGCGGTAAGATCCTGAGACGAATCCTGAAGGAGCGAGCCAAGGCCCGGGACATGGGAAAGGATGCCAAAGTCCAGGCTCGTCTGTAACCTGCATCTGTATGCCGTGGCCGGAACGACCCTCTATAGCCTCGTGTACAAATATACCCAGATTGTGTTCTAAACGGTGCCTGAAAACTTGGCAAGGGACGGAACTTTAATCCAGCGCTGAAGGGATTCAATACGTACTCCTACCAAATGCCCATATCCTTCCCCTGCCTCTACTTCTTCATGGGCGTGCCAATTGCCACCACATACATACATGCTGCACAATTCAGGGGAACTAACAGTCTTTCTTCTGATATCAAGGTACACCATGTCAATGTTAAGCACCACACACTCATGATCAAGACACTCTAAGAGGAAATGTTGTTGAAGGAGAGAATGCCCTTCTTTGCATACTTTAGGCCGAAGTGAACCCCAAAGGTGTGTTTCCCTCTAGGTCTCTGGAAGACCCACTAAACAATGATATTTATCGCAGCTTTTTAGAAGAAACATTGCCACTAACACAAGGAGAAAGGCGTGTTTCCTCTTTCGATTCGTTAAACCCAGCAACGCGAGGTTAAGAGCCTGAGACAAGATGTAGAAGAGAAAAACATAGCCCGCGACGTGTCAAAGGACTACGGCACAAACTCCGTAAATTTCCACGCCTGTGCACCGAGAGCTGGACGATCCTCTATTTCAATGCCCATCTCGCATGCAAATATCACTAAATTGAAACCGAGGCTATCTCAGAGCTTGGCGAGCACGACCATTCCCTTTTTCCTCGCTTGTACAATCTCCTTCGCCTGATCGCGCAACAAGCGGCGCTACGACGCGCAACCACATGAGCGCCTATTCGTGAATCACCAAGAACCAGAACGTACCAAGATTTTTCCACTCGTGTTCTTCGGTATAGCGTCGACGAATACCACGCCCCCCTCCAACCACTTATACCTCACCTTCTGGTCTCTGACCCATTTCTTGATCTCTTCACTTGCGTTCCCCTCCCCTGCCGCACCGGCACCAGAAGCAGCAGCCTTCCCCTCGGGGGAGAGGACAACGAACGCTATTTGGAACTTCACCCCTCATGTCGTCGGGTATGCCGACGACGCCCGCATCGGATACGTACGGGTGCACAACCAGGTGTCCCTCAAGCTCTGCGGGGGCGACTTGGAAGCCGTTTACTTTCAAGAATTCCTACCCACACATGTGAGCTCTAGGACTTCGTACACGCGGGAGAGCGCACCTTCAGTCGATCGAGGAACATACACATCCCCCTCCTTTGTGATAAAGTGCTTCGTCCCC